TACAAGGCTTGCTAGCGGTTTTGGAGTCAAATATAACAAGATACCTTTTTTATGATTGAGTATTAGAGCTTCTCCCACACCTACAAAGCTTTGGGAACCATTACAAGGATTGACTAGCGGTTTTGGAGTCATATATGACAGATCCCGTGTTAATGATTACGTATAAGAACTAGGCTTGCTGTCGGATTCTGAAAGTTAAAGCCGTATGTGTTTGAGTAGAAGCTCCAAAAAACACTTATTAAACTTCTCCCCCACTCATAAAGCTTTGGGAACCATTACAAAGCTTGTCTAGCGGTTTTGAAGTCAAATATGACAACATTCCGTGTTTATGATTACGTATAAGAAGTAGGCTTGCGGTCGGATTCTGAAAGTTAAAGCCGTGTGTGTTTGTGTAGAAGTTCCAAAAAACACTTATTAAACTTCTTCCCCACTCATAAAGCTTTGGGAACCATTACAAACCTTTTCTAGCGGTTTTGGAGTCAAATATAACAAGATCCCTAGTTTATGATTGAATATAAGAATAAGGCTGGTAGTCGGATTCCGAAAACTAAAGTCGTTTGTGATTGTGTAGAAGATACCAAAAAACACTTATATAACTTCTCCTCAAGCCACAATGCTTCGGGAACCATAACAATGCTTGGCTAGCGGTTTTGGAGTCAAATATAACAAGATCCCTTATTTATGATTGAGTATAAGAACAAGGCTTGTAGTCGGATTCCTAAAGCTAAAGTCGTGTGTGATTGTGTAGAAGGTCCCAAAAAACACTTATAGAACTTCTCCCACACCTACAAAGCTTTAGGAACCATTACAATGCTTGGCTAGCAGTTTTGGAGTCAAATATAACAAGATCCCTTGTTTATGATTGAGTATAAGAGCTTCTCCCACACCTACAAAGCTTTGGGAACCATTACAATGCTTGACTAGCTGTTTTGTAGTCAAATATAACAAGATCCCTTGTTTATGATTGAGTATAAGAACAAGGCTTGAAGTCGGATTCCTAAAGCTAAAGTCGTGTATGATTGTGTAGAAGGTCCCAAATACACTTAAAGAACTTCTCCCACACCTACAAAGCTTTAGGAACCATTACAATGCTTGGCTAGCGGTTTTGGAGTCAAATATAACAAGATCCCTTGTTTATGATTGAGTATAACAGCTTCTCCCACACCTATAAATAGAGGTGTCAAGCGGGCCGATAGCCCGCGGACTTTGTCCAAGTAGCCCACAGCGGGGCGGGCTTGGACATCATTTTTCATGCCCATAAAATAGCCGTCCTCGCGGACAAGCCCAGGCGGATTGCGGGTGTTTGCGGGTTTTGTCCGCGGATTTGCGGGCCGGCCCGCGGACTACAAATATTTAATAAATAAATAATTAATATAAATAAATAAATATTTTTACATAATTCTAAAAATATATATGTGAAATATATGAACATATAACAAAATTTAAAATTATAAGATTTACAAAAAAATTAATTCTAAAAGTTTTTTTTATTGAAAAATTGTTAATTTCATATTTTAAAAATTAATTTTAATTTTTTAATTATTTTTAAAATATTTAAAACTAAGCCCGCGGGCCGGCCCGCTAACCCGTTGGGCTTAGCGGGGCGGGCCTTGACATATTATTTTTGCCCGCGGTCCTAGCGGGCCGGCCCGCCGCGGTCTCATAAATTTAAATGCCCATCGCGGGCCGGCCCAGATGGACGCGGGCCGGCCCGTTTGACACCTCTACCTATAAAGCTTTGGGAACCATTACAATTCTTGACTAGCGGTTTTGGAGTCGTATATCACAGATCCCGTGTTAATGATTACGTATAAGAAGTAGGCTTGCGGTCGGATTCTGAAAGTTAAAGCCGTGTGTGTTTGTGTAGAAGTTCCAAAAAACGATTATTAAACTTCTCCCCCACTCATAAAGCTTTGGGAATCATTACAAAGCTTGTCAAGCGGTTTTGGAGTTAAATATGACAAGATCCCGTGTTAATGATTACTTATAAGAACTAGGCTTGCGGTCGGATTCTGAAAGTTAAAGCCGTGTGTGTCTGTGTACAAGCTCCAAAAAACACTTATTAAACTTCTCCCCCACTCATAAACATTTGGGAACCATTACAAAGCTTGTCTAGGGGTTTTGGAATCAAATATGACAAGATCCCGTGTTAATGATTACGTATAAGAACTAGGCTTGCGGTCGGATTCTGAAAGTTAAAGCAGTGTGTGTTTGAGTTGACGCTCCAAAAAACAGTTATTAAACTTCTCCCCCATTCATAAACCTTTGGGAACCATTACCAAGCTTGTCTAGCGGTTTTGGCGTCAAATATAACAAGATCCCTTGTTTGTGATTGAATATTAGAATAAGGATTGTAGTCGGATTCCGAAAGCTAAAGTCGTTTGTGATTGTGTAGAAGCTCGCAAAAAACACTTATATAACCTCTCCTCCACCCACAATGCTTTGGGAAGCGTTACAATGCCTCGCTAGCGGTTTTGGAGTCAAATATAACAAGATCCCTTGTTTAAGATTGAATATAAGAATAAGGCTTGCGGTCGGATACCTAAAGCTAAAGTCGTGTATGATTATGTAGAAGGTCCCAAAAACACTTATAGAACTTCTCCCACACCTACAAAGCTTTAGGAACCATTACAATGCTTGGCTAGCGGTTTTGGAGTCAAATATAACAAGATCCCTTGTTTAATTTATGATTGAGTATAATAGCTTTTCCTACTCCTACAAAGCTTTGGGAACCATTAGAATGCTTGACTAGCGGTTTTGGAGTCATATATGACAAGATCCCGTGTTAATGATTACGTATAAGATCTAAATAAGTCAAATATTGTTAACTACAGACGGTTGCCTACGATATATATGGAAACGTAAAATTCTACATATTGCAAGTAAGTTTTTGTATTAACTTTCAAACATCTAATATTAATATTTATATAATAAATAAAAATTCTTATTCGTTTATCAACTTTATATATGAAATCAAATGTGTTCCCTTGTTCTTAGAAAAAAATGTTTTAGTTTACAGGCAAAAACCGTTTGGTAGTATAAAAAAAATTCAGATTTTGGTTCGATTAAACATGATGTGAGTCAAATTACTCCTAAGACTACTCTCTCAAATAAGAGATCGTGTGTAATATTTTAGGGTCGAATTTCACTGTAACGCCCCGACCGCTATCTCTCTTAATGGGTCCTACAACCTCTCTCGACCTGTGGGCTCACCCGTATCTGACGGCCGGTCTGCTACTTTCGGGAGGCTTTAGAGACTTGTTTACCGACCCTACAAATCACCACATGATCTTTTCCTGTGTTTTTTCCTCACTCACACAGTTCCGACAATCACTTCCCGGAAGGTCACCCATCCTGAAACTACTACAGCCCAAGCATGTTTAACTTTGGAATTCTCTCAAGACGATTGACCAAAAATATAAGTGCACTTTGGTGACATAGGTGGCCAAATCAATTCTTTTAAACATCTCCGCATGCACCACCATATTCCTGAAACCAGGGTGTTACAATTCACCCCCACTAACAGATCGCAACGTCCTCGTTGCACATCAAGACCGTCACCCCCTATGGTGTGAGCCCTCTTGACTCCACACTCGTCTGGATTCGGCTCTGATACCACTTGTAACGCCCCGACCGTCCCTACCAGTGGGCACCACATTCTCTCTCGGGCCCATGGGCCCATTCCTGTCCGACGGACGGTCCGCTACGTCTGTAAGGCTTTAAAGACTTGTTTACTGACCCTACAAATCACCACATGATATTTCCCTGTGTTTTGTCCTCACTCACACAATTCCGACAATCACTTTCCGGAAGGTCACCCATCCTGAAACTACTCCAGCCCAAGCACGCTTAACTGTGGAGTTTTCTCAGGACAGTTGACCGAAAAGATAAGTGCACATTGGTGACATAGGTGGCCAAATCAATTCTTTTAACCCTCTCTACATGCACCACCATATTCCTGAAATCGGGGTGTTACAAGTATAAATGTTTTCAAAATATTTCCAGACAAGCAACCACATTTTATTTTATAAAACGTAGCAATTTGGCAAATGATACTTTTTTGCAATAGTTTTTAATATATAATTACACATTTCTGTTATAAAAATATGACAGTTAAAATTAGAAAATAATTTTAAAATAAAAACTAGTTCAAATTTTTGCTATGATGTGGTTTTCTATATTAATTTATTTATTTTGTTGATTTAACGAAATATTTTGGTTATTGACATTTTAATATTGTTTTCTTAAGTTATTTTCATCATTTGCAGTTAACATTTGCTAGAACAATAACTATCTGTGAACTAATCCTACATTCTATTACATCGAATTTCTAGGTAGGTCTCTTACATCCTTGACGTTATATTTCATATCACCACAAGTAATAAAAGTTAAATATATTTCTTAACTTAGATATAAAATTATAGTCCTAGTAAATTAAATAAGAATCTTTTTTAAAAAAAATCTTATAAACCAAAATTTAAGACATTTACCTAAGAATTATCCTTAAATGTATAGTTATAAATAATAAATGTTGTATTGAAAATATAATAATTTACATATGAAACCATTATTTTAAAACATTACTCCCTCTGTTTCAGTTTAGTTGTCGTTTTAGAATTTAAATTTTGTTTTATAATAGTTGTCGTTTAAGATTTTCAATGCAGATTTTTGGAAAAACTTCATGTTTTCTCTCTACTACTTTATTGTTTTTGCCTAGAAAAAAATTCTAAAGAATATTAATAAAGGAAAAAACAAAACAGTTGGTTTTCTTAATTTGTATGAGAAAATCTTAAATGACATGTAATTCAAAACGGAAGGAGTATTGTTTACTTGAATTTCATTTATAACAAAATAAAACGTTTATTAAAACAATAATTCTTTCGTAACATATTAATTCATAAAAATATATTTAAATATGAAACTATGTAGTTACCTACTTCATTGCACAATAATTCTTTTGATATATTTTTTTTTCGATACTATTATATCATACATAAAGAATGAAGACAATTATTTTGTTTTTAACTTTTCTGGTCCTTTTTTCCTCATGTAAGTCTAAATCTATTTAATTGGGATCTTATGTAAAATATATTTTGGAAATTTTATAGGTACATCAATAATTATTCAAAAAGCTAATTTAGACGAGAGAACATCTCTTGACAATCCATTAGCGAGCCCTTCAATGGATCAAATGCTAGTGGATATACATCTTGGACAGTCTCTTCGTCAAGGCGTAATGGGTTTTTGTTATGACTGCGGAAAAGCTTGTTTTAGAAGGGGTAAGTATATTCGTAGTTGTACAAGATTTAAATGTCGTTGCAGTATTAGTGACATTAAATAAGACTTCATAATTTTCTTGTAAAAATTATAATAAAATTATCGTATTTAATATTCTTCTATGGTTTTGCTTTACCGTATTGAACATAGATAAGAGGCTGAAAGTTATGCACACGACATGATATTTGTGCTACTTATTAGTGTAAAATAAATTGACTTACTTAGCTTAGGAGAAGATAAATTAATTTTTCTTCTAGAGTTTTTGCTAGGTTTGAGCCGAAATTTCAAACTGAATTGACCAAACTGATGTTTGGTAAATGTGGTTTTGTTTTAGTTTACACACATAAACCGTTAAGTAGAAGAATAAAACAAATTCAAATGTTGGTTCCATTAAAACCCAGAACTCGAATTCAAACTGATTGATTTAACGAAGTTGTTCATATAAAGATAATAAAACCTAGGTCTAAGTCGTTTCTTTTTTTTTCATCTGACGAAAAATCATCTATCTGTTTGTTTCTCTTTTTTCTCCTCTCATACAAAATCAATTATACTCTTTGTTGTCTTTTTCACCAATTCTACCAAGTTATACCGTCAAATTATCTTTACAACCATGTCGGATAGCTCGTTTTGACCGCCGCCACAGATGTTAAACGACTTAAGATGTGTGGTTTGAATGTTTTTTTTTTCGCATTTCTCATTTATGTCTTATATTTATAGTTGGCCTAATTATTTGGCTGATACAATTATGAAACGATGAAAACACTTCTTTATAAAATCCTAATAAGAACAAAACGTGCGAAACTGAATATTCGTGTCCATTCCGCAATTTCGTTTTTACAACAAACCGAACCAAATTTTGTACTTTTAAATCGAAGACTTCAATATGATTTTTATTTGGTGAAATGTCTTCGAAAACGAACAAACTAAATTACTTCCAAATTTCCAAAACAAAGCAGACCAATTAAACAGATTACCCGGTCTCAGAAATTACTTCAAAATATATTTAATAAGTTAATTATTATTAATTTTATAGAGTTGCCAACGATATATATTGGAACATAAAATTATACATACTTCAAATAAGTTTTTAGTATTAATATTTTATCAAATAAATAATAATATTTTTTTCGTTTATCAAATTTAAATATGTAATCAAATGTGTTTTCTTGTTCTTAGAAATAATAATATTTAGAGACAAGGTGATTCTAGATATAACACAGGGATCAATAAGCAGAGTAATTATTTAAAATATATTAATATATATATGTATACATATATTCATTTATATATCAATTCGAGACGCTAAAAAAACACACATTATTCGATCATCCACAAAAAATAATATTTGGCCTTATTAGACTTACAAGATAGCTTTCACAACTCGGTAGCAAAAGAATGATTAAGGGTACCACAACGTATATTGATTCAAAAATGTGCAACTAATTTACGACATCTAAACGACGAGTATAAATGTTTTCAAAATAGTTTCAGACAAGCAACCACATTTTACTTTATAAAACGTAGCAATTTGGCCAATGATACTTTTTTGCAATAGTTTTTAATATAAAATTACACATTTCTGTTATAAAAATATGGCCGTTAAAATTATAAAATATTTTTTTTTATAAAAACTAGTTCAAACTTTTGCTATGATGTGGTTTTCTATATTGATTTATTTATTTTGTTGATTTAACGAAACGTTTTGGTTATTGACATTTTAATATTGTTTGCTTCAGTTATTTTCATCATTTGCAGTTAACATTTGCTAGAACAATATCTATATGTGAACTAATCCTACATTCTTTTACATCGAATCTATGGGTAGGTCTCTTACAACCTTGACGTTATATTTAATATCACCACAAGTAATAAAATTTAAATATATTTCTTAACTTAGATATAATATTATAGTCCTAGTAAATTAAATAAAAATATTTTTAAAAAAAAATCTTATAAACCAAAATTTAAGACATTTACCTAAGAATTATCCTTAAATGTATAGTTATAAATAATAAATGTTGTATTGAAAATATAATAATTTAGAAATGAAACCATTATTTTAAAACATTACTCCCTCTGTTTCAATTTAGTTGTCGTTTTAGGATTTATATTTAGTTTCATAATAGTTGTTGTTTTAGATTTTCAATGCAGATTTTTGGAAAAACTTCATGTTTTCTCGCTAGAACTTTATTGTTTTTGACCAGGAAATTTTGTTAAAGTATATTAATAAAGGAAAAAATAAAATGTTTAATGGTTTTCTTAATTTGTATGAGAAAATCTTAAATGATATGTAATTCGAAACGGAAGGAGTATTGTTTACTTGAATTTCATTTATAACAAAATAAAACGTTTATTAAAACAATAATTCTTTCGTAACATATTAATTCATAAAAATATATATAAATAAGACACTATGTAGTTACCTACTTCATTGCACAATAATTCTTTTGATATATTTTTTCTTCGATACTATTATATCATACATAAAGAATGAAAACAATTATTTTGTTTTTAACTTTTCTGGTCCTTTTGTCCTCATGTAAGTCTAAATCTATTTAATTGGGATCTTATGTAAGATATATATATAGTCGTTTCTTCAATATTGATTTGATAATTTGAAATATATTTTGGAAATTTTATAGGTACATCAATAATTATTCAAAAAGCTAATTTAGAAGAGAGAACATCTCTTGACAATCCATTAGCGAGCCCTTCAATGGATCAAATTCTAGTGGATATACATCTTGGACAGTCTCTTCGTCAAGGCGTAATGGGTTTTTGTTATGACTGCGGAAAAGCTTGTTTTAGAAGGGGTAAGTATATTCGTAGTTGTACAAGATTTAAATGTCGTTGCAGTATTAGTGACATTAAATAAGACTTCATAATTTTCTTGTAAAAATTATAATAAAATTATCGTATTTAATATTCTTCTATGGTTTTGCTTTACCGTGTTGAACATAGATAAGAGGCTGAAAGTTATGCACACGACATGATATTTGTGCTACTTATTAGTGTAAAATAAATTGACTTACTTAGCTTAGGAGAAGATAAATTAATTTTTCTTCTAGAGTTTTTGCTAGGTTTGAACCGAAATTTCAAACTGAATTGACCAAACTGATGTTTGGTAAATGTGGTTTTGTTTTAGTTTACACACATAAACCGTTAAGTAGAAGAATAAAACAAATTCAAATGTTGGTTCCATTAAAACCCAGAACTCGAATTCAAACTGATTGATTTAACGAAGTTGTTCATATAAAGATAATAAAACCTAGGTCTAAGTCGTTTCTTTTTTTTTCATCTGACGAAAAATCATCTATCTGTTTGTTTCTCTTTTTTCTCCTCTCATACAAAATCAATTATACTCTTTGTTGTCTTTTTCACCAATTCTACCAAGTTATACCGTCAAATTATCTTTACAACCATGTCGGATAGCTCATTTTGACCGCCGCCACATATGTTAAACGACTTAAGATGTGTGGTTTGAATGTTTTTTTTTTCGCATTTCTCATTTATGTCTTATATTTATAGTTGGCCTAATTATTTGGCTGATACAATTATGAAACGATGAAAACACTTCTTTATAAAATCCTAATAAGAACAAAACGTGCGAAACTGAATATTCGTGTCCATTCCGCAATTTCGTTTTTACAATAAACCGAACCAAATTTTGTACTTTTAAATCGAAGACTTCAATATGATTTTTATTTGGTGAAATGTCTTCGAAAACGAACAAACTAAATTACTTCCAAATTTCCAAAACAAAGCAGACCAATTAAACAGATTACCCGGTCTCAGAAATTACTTCAAAATATATTTAATAAGTTAATTATTATTAATTTTATAGAGTTGCCAACGATATATATTGGAACATAAAATTATACATACTTCAAATAAGTTTTTAGTATTAATATTTTATCAAATAAATAATAATATTTTTTTCGTTTATCAAATTTAAATATGTAATCAAATGTGTTTTCTTGTTCTTAGAAATAATAATATTTAGAGACAAGGTGATTCTAGATATAACACAGGGATCAATAAGCAGAGTAATTATTTAAAATATATTAATATATATATGTATACATATATTCATTTATATATCAATTCGAGACGCTAAAAAAACACACATTATTCGATCATCCACAAAAAATAATATTTGGCCTTATTAGACTTACAAGATAGCTTTCACAACTCGGTAGCAAAAGAATGATTAAGGGTACCACAACGTATATTGATTCAAAAATGTGCAACTAATTTACGACATCTAAACGACGAGTATAAATGTTTTCAAAATAGTTTCAGACAAGCAACCACATTTTACTTTATAAAACGTAGCAATTTGGCCAATGATACTTTTTTGCAATAGTTTTTAATATAAAATTACACATTTCTGTTATAAAAATATGGCCGTTAAAATTATAAAATATTTTTTTTATAAAAACTAGTTCAAACTTTTGCTATGATGTGGTTTTCTATATTGATTTATTTATTTTGTTGATTTAACGAAACGTTTTGGTTATTGACATTTTAATATTGTTTGCTTCAGTTATTTTCATCATTTGCAGTTAACATTTGCTAGAACAATATCTATATGTGAACTAATCCTACATTCTTTTACATCGAATCTATGGGTAGGTCTCTTACAACCTTGACGTTATATTTAATATCACCACAAGTAATAAAATTTAAATATATTTCTTAACTTAGATATAATATTATAGTCCTAGTAAATTAAATAAAAATATTTTTAAAAAAAAATCTTATAAACCAAAATTTAAGACATTTACCTAAGAATTATCCTTAAATGTATAGTTATAAATAATAAATGTTGTATTGAAAATATAATAATTTAGAAATGAAACCATTATTTTAAAACATTACTCCCTTTGTTTCAATTTAGTTGTCGTTTTAGGATTTATATTTAGTTTCATAATAGTTGTTGTTTTAGATTTTCAATGCAGATTTTTGGAAAAACTTCATGTTTTCTCTCTAGAACTTTATTGTTTTTGACCAGAAATTTTTTTAAAGTATATTAATAAAGGAAAAAATAAAATGTTTAATGGTTTTCTTAATTTGTATGAGAAAATCTTAAATGACATGTAATTCGAAACGGAAGGAGTATTGTTTACTTGAATTTCATTTATA